GCCTACCACGCTCATGTCTGGCGGCCGTTTGGAGGCTTTCCTAATTCCTCTGGTCCTCATGCTCTGTTTGCTCTGCAGGGTCTTGTCTGCCTCACCTCATTGCTGCCTGGTTGAAGAGATGATCTGGGTAACGTATGCCTGCCTCCCCCACCCCCACCCCCTACCCCCTCCTTTCGTCCCATATAACGGAGAAAAAATATGCCAGTCACGCAGGCCTCTTCCCATAGGGGCTCTGGCGGCGCACAATGTAACGTAATGAAAATAATAGATTCCAAACGGACGCGATCCTCCACCCCCCCCCCTTCGGGACATGCTCCGTAGGCGTTTACACATTTCCCAAAGGCGTCTTTAGCGTTGTGTGGCGACTATGATGATAGCACACACGGCCAGGTACTGAGCAGCATAGCCCTCGGCGTCTGTAGCATTACGATGCCTCAGTACACCGCAGTAGGCTGTCTCTTCCGCGCTCTTGCTCTAGCAAGGGTCTATAGTCTCACGCTCTTTCTGTTCCCTGCCTTCAACTTCCGTTATGCTTCTCTTCTTCTCTTCTCTCTTTCTCTTCATCTCTCTCTCTCTCTCTCTCTCTCTCTCTCTCTCTCTCTCTCTCTCTCTCTCTCTCTCTCCTCTCTCTCTCTCTCTCTCTCTCTCTCTCTCTCTCTCTCTCTCTCTCTCTCTCTCTCTCTCTCTCTCTCTCTCTCTCTCTCTCTCTCTCTCTCTCTTCTCCTCTTCTCTCTTCTCTCTCTCTCTCTCTCTCTCTCTCTCTCATCTCTCTCTCTCTCTCTCTCTCTCTCTCTCTCTCTCTCTCTCTCTCTCTCTCTCTCTCTCTCTCTCTCTCTCTCTCTCTCTCTCTCTCTCTCTCTCTCTCTCTCCCTCTCTCTCTCTCTCTCTCTCTCTCTCTCTCTCTCCCTGTATTTTTTCTTTTCTCATCCATCCTCCTTTTTCCTTCCCCATCTCTTTTTTATTATTTTCCATTCACGTGGTAGTGAGAGAGAGGGTATACATACCTTCATATGTTTATGCTCATATATGAAATAATTGAAAATAGATAAATCAAATGAGATGAATAGATATATTAGAGTTTTAGAAAATTTGAGAGATATATACTGAATAGACAGATAAAGTTATGTATAGATAGAAGGGCAAGATATGGCATACAGACAGATGTATAGTTAAATGGTTTCGCCCTTAAATTGCACATTATCCTTTCATTATGAATACAAATATTCATTATCAAACTAAACTAGGCGGATAGAAATACAAATAGATATTACGCTTTCAATGACAAACATACACTTTACAGTAAGTAGTTGATCGATATATATATTTACGTAGTTTAACATAGACAGATACCAAGTAAATGAGCAGTGTGGATATCCAGACTTTGAAATAGAGATATAGGTAGATAGACAGATAGATAGATAATTAGGCAGACAGATAGATAGATAGACAGATAGATAGATAGGTTGATAGACAGATAGATATATAAGTAGGTAGAACGATAGGTAGATAGACAGATAGATATATAAGTAGGTAGAACGATAATTAGATAGATAGATCAATAGATGAATAGATAGATAGAAAGATAGATAAATATAAATATAGAGAGGTGGATAAAAAAGGCGGATAATTAGAAATAAAGACAAACAAGAATAATGCTAGGTAGACAAATACCCAGAAAGATAGATGGTTAAATATATGAATGAAATAGACACATGGCAAAAAAAATGACAGATAAAATAGTTGTCATAACATTAAGGCAAACGATGATAAAGTATCCATTTTAAGAAAACAAAACTTTTCATCGAATATTCATATAAAGAAAAGGTGTATAATTGATAGATAAACGATTAAAACATAGATAGTGATGATGATTATTATGGTGATTATGATGATGGTGATGATGTGGTGATGGTGATGAAGGTGCGATGATGATGGTGATAATTGTGATGGTGTGATGATGGTGATAATGATAATGAGGAGGAGGATAAAGATGAATACAAAGATGATGACAGTGACGTCGACGATGGCAATGACAGTGACAATCACAGCAACAGTGCCTGACGAAGGCGATGAAGAAGGCACACTCTGGCACTCACCGCAGATCGTGGTTGTCCGGGCTGAGCGTGATGACCTCGACGGACGAGGAGACCGGGCGCGTCTTGGAGGACCGCCACCGCAGCTGGGTCACCCGATGACCTCGCTCCACCAGCTTCTCGCCGAACTTCCTGAGGGTGAGTTCGTGGCTCCCGGCGTAGATGGGGTGCAGGATCAGGACGTTGGCGCCCTCGGTCCTCTCCTGCGGCTCCCTGTGGGCGTGGGCGGCCGACAGGAGGCAGAAGAGGTACAGGACGCGACATCCGAAGGACTGGACGCCCATGATGGATTGTCTTTTTTCTGTTTTTTGGGCGGGAAGTTTGTTTTGGGCGTTTTCACTGGCACTCACTTATGTCACTGTTTTCCTTCGTTTTTGGGTTTGATTATTCGTTCATGCTGTTTTGTGTTTTTTCCTTACTATATGTAAAAAGATTGCGATTAATTGATTACATGAAAATATCATATGAACACACACGCGCATTTCTACATGTATATACATAGGTATGTATACATGTGTATGTATATATACATGTGTGTGAATACATATGCATATATAATATATACATATATACATATATATATATATATTATATATATATATATATATATATATATATATATATATATATATATATATATATTAGAATTCGACGTGATAGATATCCATCACAAAACACCCGCTTTTCCTCACCCAAAACCACATCCATTGCACACTGTCTTCCTCTCTCCAAAGAGCCAAGGTTACGACTACGAAAGAGAAGGCAAGTCCTCTGATAAAGGGTTTCAAGGCAGGAGGATCTACGGTGAGACGCCCCCGTGGCCACCGGAAATGGCAGGGTCTCTCGGCAGTCGCTGTAGGACCTCCCTTGGGCCTTCGAGCGCCCTGGGAAAGCTCGGTTTAGGATCTTGCTTCTACTGACGAGGGGTTGATAAAGCAGAAGGAACGTAACTAAAAGATAATCCCGGATAGTGGATAGATAGCTAATTCTAGATTGCATCATATCTATTATGACCTTTTAGGAGAGTTTGAATTTATCTCGCCCCTCTCTTTATAGTCGCTATGCCATTTTGATAGCATTAGACTTCTGCAGTATAACATAGTAACATAAAAGCACGTAGGACTGGCTTGGCTGAATTGGGGTGATATCATGCGTCAGTATTTACTTATACAAGACATATATACGAGATAGAACGTATATGCAATAATCAGACAAATTTGCTGTTTCTTGTAATAAATGAAAACAAATTAATAAAATAGAATAAAGAGATAAGACAAAGAAAATAAAAAAAAGTGCAAAGGTATGTTTGGTTTCAAAGAACCACATTCCTCTATGGGAACTTGACGTGAGATTCACCTCATCTCATTGACAAGAGAAACGCTTCGTGAAGTGAAGCAATTAAAACACGACAGATGCACATGAAAGGGCCCGAGAAGGAGTTCCATTTCATATAACCGATATTGCTTTATTTCTTCATCATTATTATGACCTTTAATTTTTATAACCAATTATCTTATAACCAATTATTATAACCAATATCTATTTCTTCGATCATTATTATGACCTTCATTCCTCGCCATTCCACGCTGTTTCGCTTGCATGCCGCGCGACCAACACGAGTGGCCGGCGGATTCCAGGACAGACCCTGACAGCATCCTTAACTTTCGATAACTGTATTTCCTCTCTGACGTGAACCCTGGAGTTCCCTTAAATACAACGTAGTTTTTCTTTTGGTACCTTTACTTTCCATTATTTTGGGTACTTTACCTTTCCCTTCTTTCTTTTATATTATGCTTATTTCGCATCTTATAATTTACTTGTTGTCTATAAAAATATATATATATAACATAAACATGTTGCCACGGAAGTAATGTGTGCAGAAACGTGCGCTATCGAAACAGGAAATAAAAGGAAGAAAAGTGAAAATAAAGAAAATGAGAACAAGCGAAAATAGAAAGTGCAATAAAAATGCGAATGATGAAAAACAACTGAAAAACTGAAAGAAAAGTTTGCTAGCAAAACAGATAGATTATGTGTAGATTATTATTTTCTATCTTAATGGAGTATATAATACTTATGTAATTAGGAAGTGATCTATGGCGAGCAAAATATATGCTATACAAGTGTACTTCTTTCCACGAATATTTATTAAATGATACTTGGCGTTCTCATCAAAATACATAAATTGTAATGGATGCTCAAAGATTTATGAATTGCGATATTTACCTGAAATAAAGTACTGTTGATTCAAGAAAAGCTGACACGTCTAACGAGAGGGTCGAAGGCGAGTGGACACTGCACATGCATTTAGAGCACCAAGATAACCTTGACGATTTAGGATAAAGAAAAAAAAAATAAAGAAAAAAACACAAGTCGGGACGTTTCGTAAAAAAAAAAAAAAAAAAAAAAAAAAAACAAGTCGGGACGTTTCGTAACTTCTTGTCCCTGCAGTCTGCGCAAAATCATTCTCCCCAATGTCTTAGTAGCCGTATGTACGAAAAAAAGTTGTTTTTTTGTAGCTGAAGGTGAACGGCTAAAATAATGGACTGTCGTGCATTGAATTCCCGGTAAAAAAAAAAAATGTTACAGAAATATCAAAGCGCCCAGTTTAAATGCACGGGGTAACGGGTGGTATAGCAGGATTAGGGTGGGTACAGGTGCTATGGGACGTCGCGGTTACAGCGTATGGACGCAGCAGCGATAACTAACACATCAGTTCTTTTTTAACACTCATACTCGTCAATATTCAAAGTTTCAAATATTCAATATTCAAATAGTCAATATTCAATATTCAAATAGTCAATATTCAAAGGTAAAATGGATGGAATTCAGTCATTTCTCTTACACACATGACCGGAAGCAGACACTAACACCACCACGTCAACAGCAAGCGACGCAACACAAAGC